TTAAATTATTTCCAAGAAAACAGGAATGGTAACTTCTTAAATGGTATCTGTGTGTTTTTAAACTTAATCCACCATTAATTTGTGTTATTTCTTCAAACAAGTTATTTAGATTATGAGATACATTTGGATCATCCGTAGTTTCTATAGGAGATAAATTACCTAACGTGTTTGATCTAATAAAAAAAAAATAGATTATCATTGAAAATTATAAGTTGAACAGGTGTGTAATAAAAACGTACCGGGATAATGCAAAATTTTCTTCTTGATAGCCAACAGAAATTTTTCTACTGGGAGAATTTGTTGTTTCAATTATGTTTTCAAAGTACTTTGTACTTGTGGGTACATTACAGTTAGTTAATACTTCATTATTGCCCAATTTCACTTGTAATTCATTTCTAAGGGATATTAAGTCTGGTGATAATACTACATCTTTAGCAACAGACTGTAAGTAAGACAATACTATTTTGCAACAATATGTACAAACTCTGAGGTCCCCTGGGGAAATCATTTTTTAGTTGATTTTAATAATATTTAAAAAGCAATACAAATCAATTATATATTTTATTCATTATAGTAATTACAAATACAATTAGTATTGAATAAACATGCAAAAAACCTCACCAGAACATCCCATTATTTTTCCAGGTATTTCTTGGTAACAGCATTTTGAACAAAATATTTGACCACATACTCTACAATGGTGACGCCGGCGAAAAGTTGTAAATTTTTCACAACAGTCATAACACTCTTTACTCACAGAATCAGGCATCCAATACTGTTTTAAGTCAGTATTTCTATAGGATGGATAATCCTAAAATAATAATATAAATCATTTAAGATACATTTGTTTTAGTCAATTTTAAAATTGACTTACTCCTGAACGAATCGGTAATAAATTTCCAACTCTTTTAAGAATATTTGGTAAATTTCTCGCATCTATAGCCATAAGAGCTTGTGAAGTATCCTTTTCTGTTTGATCCTAATCATGAAAATAAAGTATAATAATTAGGGCTGTGAATTTGTAGAAAAATGTATTATTTTAGCTTACTATAAAATAAGATTTAAATTAGTTTGTTATAAATAAAATGTACAAACTTTTATTTTTAATTTTTTACATGTTCTTTATCCATGTAATATTTAATTAATAATACCTATCTTTAATTTAAAATATTTTACATTTTGCATATATATATTAAATTATAGTTCTTTAATACAGTAAGGTAGATACCTATTTATAGTGCATTCAAGTTTTTCTAAAGCATTCAATTAATAGCCCTCCTAATAATAATATTGTATAAGTAAATGTATACAATTATAGGTACGTTATAAAAAAATGTTCAGTTATAATTGAATAGTTTCACCTTAAAAATTATAACTACCGAATATACCTTATCAATTTACATATTATATCCATCAATAAAAATGCCTTTTTTTTAAGTTTTATATTTTTAACCAGTTTTTTGTTGAACTTAAAATTGTTTATATAATAAAGGTAGTTATTAAATAACAAAATTCATACTTTTTTACATTGAATATTTTGGGTGGGTAATTAAATAGATTGGATAGGTATTAGTATCTTTTTCAATAATTTATAGTTGTTTTTAGAATTATACTTACATTACTAACAATAATTTCAGCATTTGTATCATTGGAGTCTGTTGGACTTGTCTTAAAGTTGAATACTTTAGCAAAGAATGAACCAACAGATGATTGTTCTTGTTCTGGACTTAACGGAGTGAACTCCGTCAATGCTGTGGTTGTATGGAGATTAGTCATGATTTATATAAAACCTCGGTTTTTTCAGAAATATTTAAATTTTTCAACTCGAATCATTATGCATGTTATTTGGTATAATATATTAAGTTAAAGTTAAAATTAATCACAATAATTGACTAAACCATAGATTTAACATACACATTGTATTAAAGTATTGTATTATTAGAGTCGTAACCATAATATTAATATTTAATGTACACCCTAAGGTAGTAAGGTCTTAGGTTAACTAGTTAAATCTCTAAATAGTTTTTACTTTTAAACAATTTAAATTCTAGTATTCTACTTTATTCTGTGATTCTAACAAAGTGATAAGACATTTTGATAATAGATAAATATTACCACAGAATAATAAAATATTACCACGGACTATCAATATTATTTACTGAACCAAAATTATTAGTATGCATATGGTATATCGTGATTTTCCTTTGATTTATACAATTTTTATTTTTTTGTTTACTCATTTGCTGGTTTATTAAATATTATATACTATGATCATATTCCTTATTGGTAGTAATTAGATAGAAATATTTCTTCCAATCTGTCCGTGTTATTTTATCAGATTTGTACATATTATTATGTTGACGACTTGACTATGATCATTTGACATTTTCATAATTAATTATATTTTGTCATTTTGAAGAACAGAACAATACTAGAATTTGTTGGAGAAGAAGAATTTAAAAGCTTGAACAATTAATACAAGGTTCCTTATAAGTTGCTATAATACTTCACAATTTTGAAATGATGAAGATACCTTATGTACGATTATTATTTTTATAAGCATTTATCTATTGGAAATTTAAAACGAGATTACTCCTACTTAGGTAATACATGGTAAAACTGTAATCAAAAAATCTGAAAAATATAACAGTTTTTGTATAGTAATTTTGGGTTGTAAGTACTTGTAACTTGGACGAAATTAGATGTTTGAACGAAAATAACCGATATTTATTATTTTGTTATAATTCAAAAACATTATTCGTGATGACTTATAACTTTTACTTATAAGTTATAGACTATAGTATTTACCTATTATATTTTATACATACAATGAAGTTTTATAATGCAATGTTTTAAGCAAAATATAATTCAACACGTTGTTTTACTATTAGTAAAATTAATTACTTAAACAGCTGCAAATAAATATAATAATTGTCTATTTACTTAATATACATATTTTTTTATTATTAATTAACCTGCGGCAACTTAGCCTATTGGATGGTTTCTAACTGTGTGGGAGTCGGAAGGGTACTGTAGGTTTGAACACGTTTACACAATTCTGACAGATTTTTCAGTTTGCACCCTTAGGTCATTCCCGGGTGGGGGAGGCGGCACTTCTCTCCGAAGTCCGGACACCGTGACTTGCCAGAAGAAAAATGCCGCTTTGGCATGAGGTTTTGAACTGGCGTCGGTGCGCGTCGGAACTGAGTACCGACGGCTTTGTCCGCTTCGCCACTCCTCCCTCATTTATTATTTTAAGTCTATTTAATATGACTGTTATTTTTTTTATAGGTACCTACCTACCTATTGGAAAAATGTTTATCTATAATGACTGTATCAAGCTTTTATCGAAGGTAATATAACTTACAGATAAATAGATAATACTAAATACTAAATAAAATTTTTAAGAAATTCAAAACAAATACTGCATGATTTTTATACAAACAATGTATAAACTATAAACTAAGAAGACAGATATTTTTAATACAATGTAAATTTAATTTAAAAATCATTAAAAAACTTCTAGAGTTTGAGCGGAGCAATAAATGTATTGATTTTATTTTGTTTGTGCATGTAACCTCTTAAAATACAAAAATTAAAAAATTAAGAAAAACTTGATATTTTACAGTAAAACCAGTTAAAAAAAAAAAAAATGTTTATTTTGTTTATTAGCTCTTTTTTAATATTCTAAAAAAATAACCATAGATACAATTATATTTTATATTAGAAGATTCTATACAATTTTCGAAATGTTGCTACTTTTTTTGAGCCATGTCGTTCTCAAGGGGGGGTTCACCCCACCACCCCCTCCCACCAATGAACACTTTACAAACATAATATTTTAGGGGTTTTACGAATATGTCTTCAAATTATCACATATTCACATTTAATTATTTTATACAGTGATATAATTGGTAGGTTAAGTTTCTATTTTATAATAGATCAATAGCTATAATAGGTTACCTAATAATCACTTTTTTAATTTAAATCCCGGTAGTCGAGTTTTTGAAAAGTACCTACATGGCTACATAGATAACGTATAATAATTCATATTGTTATTTAATTAGGTACCAAAAAAATATAACTTCCCAAACACTATACCTGGGGGCACTGGCGAGAGAATGTATTAGAATGTCTATAAACTTGCGATTCAGTTTGTATAGTCAAATTTGGCATGTTAACTATAACTGAAATAGAAATAACCAGAATAGGTGCACTATTGCACTATTGCAGACAGAGCCGCATTTAACGGGGGGCAAGGGGGGGCAATTGCCCCGGGGCGGCAATTTTAAGGTGATTTGAGGGGCGGCAAATTTTTATTTTAATATTAAAAAATAAATAAATTAATAAATAATAAATTTTCATATTATAATATTATACGTTCTCCGTTACGAATTTCGTATTAAATTTTTAAAATAATTATTATTATATTAAAAATATTAATACCAATAATAATTTTATCTATCAACGATTCAATAATAACTAAATGCATCACAGTTGTGTGTCTGTGTTATAGTTATTTGTAGCTTTTAATTTTCGGCGAGTCAATCATACGATAATGCGTCTAATATGTGTGGTGTTTATAACGGATTACAGACTCGAATTAAAAACTATTCGTCGACAGCCTTTTTTGTGCCGTGTTCAGCACATTCTTTGAATTTAATTGGTTCCAATGCTGCAGATACAACTCAAGAAGGCACAACATTTTTTTTTATATGTCAAGCAATCTATAATTTCTTTTCTGTTTCAACATTCAGATGTAATATTTTGACTAATATTATCGAAAATAATCAAGGTTGTGTCAAAATAAAAATCTATGTTCAACTCGTTGGTCATCCAGGTACGATGTAGGTATGTAAAGCAATGGTTATGCTTATGCACAAGTACTCAGTGCTTTAACTACTATTTGTGATGACAAAGGACAAAAAAAAGATACAAGACACGAAGCTCATTTAATTAAAAATAAAATTGAGAGTTTAAATTTTTGTTTTATGATTTGTATGTGGACACCTATACTTCAAAGATTTAACGCAACAAGTATAAGTTTACAGTCTATAGATATAGACCTAGACACAGTTGTTACACTGTACGAATCTTTAGAAAAATATGTGGAAGACTTTAGAGAAAGATTTGATGTGTACTTAGAACAAGCAAAAACGATGTGTTCAAAACAATTATTTTCCTGGGATGGCGTGAGACAAAAAAAGAGAAAGAAGTTTTTTGATCAAACTGAAAGTAACGATGAATTATTGGAAGGAGAACAAAAAATGAAATGTGAAGTATTCTATGTTATTATTGACAGGCTAGTTGTGAATTTACGTGAAAGAAAACTGTCCTACACTGATATAAATAATAATTTTGGATTTATATTAAAATTAGATACATTAGATACTAACGGAATACGTGAAAAAGCTAAAAACCTAGTGAAAATATATCCTGAAGATTTAAACGAGACATTCATAGAAGAACTGGTGCAATTTAAAAATATTCTGAATTTGTTTTCAAAAGAAGATAAATCATCTTTTATAAGTCTTTTAAAATGCCTCACAAATTCTGCCCTTTTGACAACATTTGCAAATGTAGAAATAATATTGCGAATATTTTGTTGTATGGCTTCATCCAATGCAAGTGGAGAACGGTCATTTTCTGTATTAAAAAGAATAAAACATGATCTAAGGTCTTCTTTAGTTGATGAAAAGATGTCATCATTATCCATATTAAATATAGAAAGCGATATTTTACAACAGATTGATTGGTCGGACATAATACATAAATTTGCAGTTTTGAAATCAAGAAAAAAATTAATATAAGTTGAATAAAAATGTATTTTAATTTACTATTTTTAATTTTTAATTATAATTCTAATTAATTGTATTATGAATATTTAATAAATAATATGTTTAAAAAGAAAAATTAAGTATAAATTCATTGTATAGGTTACTAAGTACTTACTAGATAACTCTTTAATATTTTAAAACTAACGGAGAAACGTATTAAAATATAATTCTGCTGTGTTTATGATAGCGAAAAAAGAGAGGTGAAAATCATATGATATATTTTTTAAATATATAGAGGCGGCAAATTTTACATTGCCCCGGGGCGGCAATTTGGCTTAATGCGGCACTGATTGCAGATCACAAAGATTTCTGTAAAAGAACATACGATTTATGATTTATCAATAGACCCGTATACGTATAATTTCTATGGATTTATCATAGTAAATAATATATTTTATAATATCATCTATGGCAATCGTCAATTGTCGACATTCATCGACGACGATTAACAATTATAATAATTTCAGAGAACAAAAAAATAATAAGCCATCAATTTATATGGACGGACGGTTCGTTAAGCCGTATATGTTATGAATATGATGTAAGTTTTAACACAAATTCGCACATTTCGTTATGATCAGATTATTTTCATAAAATATTTTGATACTTTCTAGTTTCAGTTCGGAGCTATAGATAAAGATGAACGAAGATGGCTGTTTCTTCGGCGACGGCGGCACTTCAGCTAGATTTCACCGGAAGAGTCGATGTTTACGCGTAAGTTTGTTTCATATTATTATTAATTTACATTTACTTTTTAGACATAAATAGACATAAATAAAATATTTATTGCCACACAGTACACACAATCTGTTGACTGGGTGGCGTAGAAGCATTTATACGTTTAATCAAAGGTGGGCAAGTTAATGAAAATAATTAACTCAAGTTAAATTAAGTTAAGAGGACACAAGATCGATTAGTTAAAAGTTAGCAGTTAACAAATTATAAATTTAACTCGATAAGTTAAAAGTTCATATAGAAAAAAATATTAACTTAACTCAGTTTAAAAAAAGTTAATCTATTTTAGATTCTGAGTGAAACGATGAATGTATTGATTTTAGTGATTTTAGTGATTTTACAATGATGTGTGATTTTTTTTTTATTTTTGTGTCTGTCATCACGTTATAGGACAGTAAAAGTGCTTGGATTTTCTTCAACAGTATCTTTTCTGATAGTAAAGTGAATCTAGTTGGTAGCTTGGGTGGTCAAAAGTAAAAATTTCCCAGTAGTTTTCACAAGCACCGGGAAAAACAACATAAAAATTAAGGAAAAACGGGAATTTTTACGCAAAATCGGTTTTCCAAAAAATCGATTTTGATTTTTGGTGTAACTCTAAAAGAAATGAACGTACATGGAATATATACATGGAATTTTCACTGGTTGTTTATATTTGAATTTTGTATACACGATAACATTTTCAAAATATTTTGATTTATTTTGAACTGTTTAGGGACATTTTCATTTTCCATCTTTCTTTGGTTTTTTTTCTAAAAATATCAATAAAATTTTATTTTTTGGTTGCGAAAAGTTGAAAATTTAATAGAAGGCTCCTAGTATATTGTTTCAAAGGCAGATGAAAAATATTAAAAATCCTTAGTCACAATTTTTTTTTATAATCATTTAAAGTTCAAAAATTGACAAAATATGGAAAAATCACGACAATTAGCAAATTATTTTGAGTTAAGAATTCGTAAAAATTTTTCTTTTTAAATCTAAGATTTGAAAATGGAATACAAGATTCCTTATAAGATTATCTACATTTATCAAAAAAAAAATATGTCTGTAAGAAACTCAAATTAAATTTTTATGAGCGTCTGAAATTCAAATTTTTACAACATTGGATATTCACTCGATTTCTCATGTATACGGTGCTGTGTTTTCCGCAGAAACACGTCAACTCTCCAGTGAGTTGTCTGTTTCATCACTCTCAAGATAAATAATAGTATGTCAACTATGTACTCCATAGTCGTCAGTACAAGAAAGGTTTGGATATCTTTTGTACTTAAAACTAAAATGTCTAAGCGGTTCAAGTTCTTCTTAATGGAAGCATTTTAAAAACGGAAGTTTATATCGCCATAAGGACACTTCTAATGCAATACGAAAATCTCAAAAGTTCTAAAATGTGGTCTTCAATTATATTTAAAAACATCTAAAAATCAGATATTATCGTCATCTTAATTCGCAAATCGCTTAACTCCATATTGACTAGTTTTCAGGAGAAAGGAAAAACATTTCATCGGAAAATTTCCAATCTCATCTCTCAATTCGCAAATATCCTATCTTCATAATTTTTACCATGCTAATATGGAGTTATGATTTTTTCTAATTGTTAAAATCATCACATCGGAGATACGACCATTTCTAATAATCAATGTCATATGGAGGATAAAATGTTACAATTTATCAGTTACAACTTTATCATACAATGCAGTTTTTTCCTTAATTTTAATCACAATTAATTCAAAAATAACATTTTTGGAGTTTCCTAACAATATTGCGAATTAGGCTGATGATATGTATATTAATTTTAATAAATATTATTGTATACAAAAAATTGGGGTGTACAATTATACACCATCGAGTCCAACATTAGAACTCGGATCACCTATATAGTATTACAGTATAATATACCGACTCTATGTGTGGGGTGTGCGAATAACACGCCTGGAGAGTCTTCTAAGTACTACTCACGATTTTTAACAGTACCTATTAATGTTTACCTACCACTGAAGCTCAAACTTACGACGCGGTGTTTGACGTCTACATGGTTGCACACTTGCACGTTTATTTCAGTGTGTATTCGGTTACATGGCTCGATTTTGGGGTGGTTAAACGGAAGGTGAAGTAAATCATTTGTCAACCACTCTAGTATAGATATTTTTTAATTTTTTTACTATCATGAAAATCGATGACATCCATGACAATACGATATCCACCTGCGTGACCATATAGGATTATTACATATATTTATGCAAAGCGAATGAGGTAGATATAATAGATAGGTATTAATACATGGTACATACTTTATAATAATACGTTTAATACGAGTAACATAATAATATTAATAATATTACTTTAATTAATACAGAACAAAACAGGTGGTGAAGATCCGACGATGGTACAGACGTACAGTGCATGAAATACGTGAGGCAAACCTACACTAACTTGGTACAAATGACAATGGAGGACATGATAAACGGTTTCAGAATAGTACCAGCGAACACAAAAGTTTGATAACGGTGGGAGAGGAGGGGATGTTTAAAGACCTTTTAATTTCTATGATATACATATTACTGGTCTATCTTGTCAACAGAACCACAACAACAAAGGAACCGCCTGACAAATTTCTTTGTCTGGCGCCAAAATGAACGACGAGGACGTGTGTGTCTCAGACTTTCCGGTTTCCGTACATCGCTGGTGACCTGCTGAAACTTTAGATTTGGCGTTGATCGCCACCCAATATCTGCAGCTGTCTCGCCAGCTAATTTTGGATGTATGCGGATGTTTGGCTCAGATACACAGAGCCTGCCGTCCAGAAAACCTTTGGAATCAAAATTTTTCGACGATTCCGGTTTCCGTACATCGCTGGTGACCTGCTGAAACTTTAGATTTGGCGTTGATCCCCACCCAATATCTGCAGCTGTCTTGCCAGCTAATTTTGGATGTATGGGAATGTTCGGCTCAGACACACAGAACCTGCTGTCCAGAAAACCCTCGGAATCACAATTTTTCGACGGTTCCGGTCTTCGTATATCATTGGTACGGTTAAACTTGAGATTTGGCGTTGATCGCCATCCAATATCTGTCGATTTGGCTGAGGAATTTTCACACATTGCAGCAATGTTAGACATAGATACACATCTATATGACATATTTATTTGAAAATATTATATAGGCACAATTAACGGAGAAGATTATACAGAAATACGTATAGGAATGAAATTTATCCGTAATGAACACAAGAAATGAATATTGACAAGTGGTAACTATGTGACACAGATATGAATTGTAGATTTTTGAAACATTCACGTACATGGCAACGATATTTTAGTTGCTTGTGTTGTTTTCTTAGAGCCAATATTAATAATGTTAATGAATTTGAGAATTTCATAATGCTTTACCAAGAATTTAAAAATTTAAAAACACCTAACTAGTGAAAATGCTAAGATGCTTTAAACACTAACAACTTAAAATTAAAAGTACAACTATAACGGAGATATACAATTAAAGTTTAAACATGACAGCAAGTCAAAAATCAATTTAATATTCCTGTTGACAAATTAATAATAGCTGGTAGGTAGTCTGGTAGTCAATAAATAAACCATGTGACTATACTGTTATCAGTTTGATAAATATAACAGCGGTGGAAAAATAGCTGTAGGTAAAAACGAGTATTACTAGAGGAAACGGGAACGACCACGACGTGGCCCAAGACACGGAAAAGAGCCGAAGCCGGTGCCGATGCACGAAACGGTTCAACAAACAAGAGGACAAAAAAATGTCTGCCGGGCGAACGTCAAAAAAAGGCGAGCCTAAACGGAGGATTTGTTCAAAGTGTCCGGCGAACAAAACGGCGTCTAGCTGGACACAAAAGAGCTGTGAACTCAAGACAAAAGCTCACCTTGGCGTATTACACAGGCGTAATAAAGGCGAGAGGGGAGGGAGCCAAGACTGCAGCGACGTTTAAAAGCCACTGTGGAATTAATAGCCAATGATCTACAGTAGCTGGCAGAGGTTACTTCTAGCCCTGGATCAAAAGAAGTGTTTATGTAAAAAGATGATACCTACCTATAAATTATAAAATATACGGCTATATTTCCGTAATCTTGTTATATTTGTTATGTAATTTATTTGGTTTTATTTGATAATATTGAATTTTTAAGCTTTTGATCAATGACCAAAAAAACGTAACAACAAGTTACATCGAAAAAATCAAAAACCCTGCGATTTTACGAGAAAAACGATATGTTATAAAG